AAGGCCAGCGCAATGAGCCTGCATTGGAGCACGTAGAGCCGTGGTCTCTGCCTTAGAGCCTGGAGCCACAAGCTGCTACTTCTCTGGTCTTAGAGCTGTAAGCCTCTTGGGTCTGTCATCCCAGCCATAAGCATTTGGTGCTCAAGACCCAACACAAAGGGAGGTAGCCCTTGCCCACATGCAATTTCTGAGTAAAGCAAAGGAGCCTGGCCAGCTGAGTGGTAACAGCTCCCACTGTCCACAGAGGTGCCCAGCTGATAACATGTGCCAAAATATGGAGGGGGAGAAAAAACTCACTACAAGATCAAAAGCAATGAATGTTTAATTAAACATCTAGAAAATGTACCATTGTTTCAAGTTCATTAATTGTCCCACTTAGCCATCATAAAAATTTCATTATATTTTATAACATTGGAAGAGAATTTATAGGTGAAATTTCAACTTGTAAGAATTCCCAAGATTAATGCTCGGTGGAGGGAATGTGGCTGATTGTAATTAAATGAATTTCTTGTAGCCAAATAATTTGGGAAGCAAAATTATTTTAAAAATCCCTCAATTATAAAGATAAAAGTCAGGTGTGAATTCATTGCAGTGCAGCCACTGGGATGAGGGGAAGGACTTCTTAAAAGAGTTGGGGAGGGGGAAAGAAGGGAATAAAAACAGTCTCCTTACTGGCCCCCTTCCCCTCCCCTGGACACCACAGCCACTGCCCTCATCCACCTCCCACTTTCCCAGCCAGGGCCACCTTTCTAAACCCTGACTTGCCTAGGAAGAAAAGCTTCCCGATGCCCTCTTTGTCCTGGAGAAAATCCCATTTCTCCAGAGGCGTCAGTGCCTGTCCTGCTCAACCCCTGGCCTCACGTGCACCTGCAGCAGGTGCTACTGGCCAGGTCACCTTTGCCAGCCATGGTGCTGCAAGGTGGGGGCCCTGGGACTCAGCCTGGGCCATCCTGTCCAAACCAGGACTGGGCAGTGAGCCAGGAGTAGCAGGGACTTTTCTCCCTCCCTGCAGGGTTCAGGTATCTGGCCTGACACCATGTGAACTGCTTGGTGAGGGACTGGATGGACAAAAGGGTGTCTCTGCCACCACAAAATGGACTCTGGGGCCCCATAGTGAGAATAGGTGTGGGTTCTGTTCCGTGTGCACGCACCTCGCACTTGGCTCTCGAGGGGCCTTCCAGTGCTTGACTTCTGACCTTCACCATGACCCATGGGGTGTGTGCTATGTGATCCCACTTTCAAAGGAAGAAACTGAGACTTAGAAAGAGGAGGTACAGCGCTAACAAACGGGAGTGTCCAGGTCTGTCTGACTTCAGGGCACACAGAAGGCTACTGGAGATACCACTCTGCCTTGAGGGCCAGAGAGTGGAGCCAGGACCCACTCCAGGCACTGCACGATTGAGGTGGTCATCCAGGACACGCTAGCCTGCTGGAACTTAGCTCCTCACTTTCAGCAGTGGGGAACCCAAGAGACCTGGGCCATGGCCGCACCCTCAAGCCACCTCTGGAACGCTGACCTCCACCCCTGACCGTAGACAGTTCACTCCCCATCTCCTCTTCCTGAGTTAAAGTCACAGAGGAATCTGAAAATAAACCCAGGCTGCCTGGTAGAGAGGAGGCTTGGGTTTTGCCAACACAATGTGCAGTAAAAATATCTGTCTTTTAAAAGAGAGAGAAAAACTTGAAGACCAGATCGGTAATGTGTAATTATCATCTGGTTTGGGCGGAGAGTTCTAATAGTTTCCAGAAAAACACCAGCCATGAAGAAGTGTGCTTTCCAAGGCAAAAAGAGACGTGGGCTCAGCAGGCAGTGTCGCCATCTTGGATGTGGAGGGAGGAGACAGCAAGTCCTGGCTTCCCTTCTCTCCCTTTGGCCTTGCTGCTGGATGGGTGACTCTGAAGATGCAGCTGTGGCCTTTGAACTCAGCCTCAGCACAGTGCCTGCTGGATAAATAGGCTCCAGTGGACAGACTCACCTGCAGACACAAGCTGTCCTTGCTCCCTCCTTGGGGGAGAGCCTTAAAATATTAGCTAGGTCTCTGCTAATGTCTGTTGTTCTCTATTTTGAATTGGGGTTAGCAGAACTCTAATTTTAGGTGGTCACATGGTGCCCCAGAATACAGACCACCTTTCCCAGCCCCCCATGTAGGTAGGGACCATAAGATAGCTCTAACCTGAGACTGGCAGGCCAGCATGATGAAAGGATCCTGCATCACCATGCCAAATCTGGACTGCCAACAGACTACACCAGGGAAAACAAGGACACATCTGTACTCTTATAGCCACTTCTACTGGGGCTTAAACACAATCCCAATGGACAAAATTAGCTTTAAAACATCTTAAATGGAGAGAAAGAATACCAGGCAACCCACACCTTTAAAGTGTGACATGGTGGTGCACTCCTGTAATCCCAGCACTCAGGAAACTGAGACAGGAGGATCTTGAGTTCCAGACCAGCCAGACACTCTCTCAAAAAAACAAAAACTGGGCATTCCACAGAATACAGCTCTTGGCTCCAGGTCCTGACGTGTCAATGAAGGGGCAGCCCCCCCATTATCTGTTTTTCTCATTCCCTCTCATTCTTGCTCCTCTTCATTTGCTTGCTTGCTTTTGTCCAGGGTCTACAGTTAACATCGTGGGGCTTTATTGCATACATTTTCTGCTTATGCAAATTTTTATACAAATTTTATGAGCACGCACTAAGCACCAGATAGAAATGCCTTTTCTTTTTTCTCTTCTTCTTCTTTTTTTGGTGGTACTGGGACTTGAACTCAGGGCCTCATGCTTGCTAGGCAGACACTCTACCAATTGAGCCTCTCCACCAGCTCTATCTTTGTGAAGGGTTTTCGAGTTAGGGTCTCTTGAACTTTTTGCCCAGGCTGGCTTCAAACCGAGATCCTCCTGATCTCTGCCTCCTGAGTAGCCAGGATTACAGGTGTGAGCCATTAGCACCCATCATCAGTTTCTTATCTCCATTTTATATTAAGTAAACTGAGGCTCAGAGAGATAGGCACCCATAGCTGGGGAGAGGCAGGGGCACATCTTGAAACTGCTGGAAGATAGGGGAGTCAGGGTCTTTGTCCTCAGGCCCCTCCAGGGGTTTCTGCCGCTGGTCCCCAGGAACTAGGAGAGGCCAGTGAGGATCATATGGCTTTAGGACTGGGGGCTCTGGGATGGGAGAGGCCACCCAGGCACTGCCCAGATAAACTCAGGCCATGAGGGGCTTTGACCCCCTCCACTGACACAAGCAAAACTGACTGTCAGGACAAGAGTCCTGCTGCCTGACCTGCAAGCTCACCAGGGTCCTGGGGGCCAGGAGAAGTCCGGGGGCCTCCTCACTCAGAGGACAGCAGTCAGCAGGGACAGAGCCTGCAGGAGGAGGAGCTGGTGTGGGCACAAGGCAATGAGAGAGGGTTCCTGGTGGCAGCTGTGTGCAAGCCACACTGGCAGGGCAGGTGGGAGAGGACTAAGAACTGACCAGGAGGGTCAGCCAGAGAGAACTGACTGGGATCTGACTCCTTCTGGGGCAGGAAGAATAAAGGACCAATGGCGAAGGTGGTGGCTGGGTGGATGGCCGGGTCCTGGAGCTCAGAGCCTTAAGTCTGGGTCCACCTGGACAAATAGAAAGTTCTCCCAAGCTACATGACTCTGGAGTTGGAGTGTGGGTAGTGAGCAGGCGCCACCTGGTGGTCAGTCTCTAAATGGCACCCCAGCTGCAGCGAGGCTCGACTTAGGGCTCAGCCAGTGCCTCTGTCAATCAGCTATCTTGCTTAAAGAGCAGCTGTGACTTCAGATGGTGACACATAGTTCTTCGTTTTACGTAAGAAGGGAGTGCAAGCCTCCTGTGGCTTCTGGGTCTTGGTGTGTCCTGGCCCCATGTGCTCCCTGGGAAAGCCTGAGACACCCCAGAGAAGCTGGGTCCCATACTGCCCCATCCTGAGCAGTGGGCATTGCTTGCTCTGAGACAGCTTCTAGGCAAACCTGGCCCCCTTGGTCCCTATTTCCTGCTTTGCTGCCCTCCCCTGCTGAAATGCTGGGAGACCCCCTGAGTCTGGGGCCCCAAACACCCCAAGTTCAGACACCTCTGAGGCTGAGTTTTTGGCACAAGGCCATCTTCCTCTGTGAGCCTCAGTCTCCCCTCTACAGCCTGGAGGAGAACCCTGTCTCTGAACTGTTTGGGGATCACTGGACCCTGTGAGAATTTATGAATGTGGTGGACCCTTTTTCTAGAACACATACATGGGGGCCCATCAGTGCCCAAGATTGTGGATAGCCAGACTCTGACCAGCCTGCTGGGAGGTGGGGAGGGGTTCACCGCTTTAGTCCGTACCACCTCCCTATGGTGAGAAATGAGAAAACAGACTCAGGGAGGTTAAACCACTTGCCCAAAGTCACATGGCCAGTGAAAAGTGTGACTGGTTTTGAATTGCAGCAGCCTGGCTCCAGGATCTGTTCCTAACCACGAGGCTGCACTGCCCCCAGGTGTTACCTTTAGGGCATCTTTGTGAAGTTGGTAGCTTTCTCATCTAGGAGTCTGGAATTATGAAGCAAGTTGTTCAGTGAGACTTGGTCTGTGGACTGGGGAATTCACCCATGATCTCAAAGACCTGTGTCTCAGTGTCCCGTCTGAGAGAAGAGGGAAGTACTTGCCCCTCCCCTGTAGATGAGAGGAGGGGCATACACGATTGGAAAGCAATTAGAAGGTACTCATTAAAGAGAGCTACCATCTTGACACACAAAACTCTTGCAGGCCATCCCCTACTCAAACGTCTTAGCCTTCATATGGGGTTCCAGGCAGCCAACACCGGGCGCTGAGAATGTGGGGGAAGCCCCTGCCCCAAGACACCACTTCAGAGGCTGCTCTGGTCTGGCCACGCACAGCTCCTCCTGCCAGCCCCGTGCCTGGCTCCGCCTGGCAATAACATCCATCCTGTTTTCAGTTCTCCTTCTCAAGCCACAGTGAAGTTTCGTTTTCTCTCTCTCAGAGGGCTGCAGGCTGAGATGGGCTGGGCCTTTCTTTCCGGAGTGTAAGCAGGTGACACTTGCCTAGGCAAAGCAGGCATCTCTTCTCTTGTGGGTTCACAGGTGGCAGGAATAGGAGGCTTGGCCACCTAAGGACACACAGCCTACTCCTGGTCACCCTCCTGAGGCCACAGTGCAAGAGCCTGCTACCCCAGGCTCCTTGTTCCTGATGACAGCATGGCAGAGGCACCTGCTGACCCTGGTAGGAAAGGTAAGGCATGTCTCCCTTCCAGGGAACTGTGTGGTTCTGGGTGGGCTCCCTACTTCTCTGCCCAGCTCTTTCCTTGGCCTGAATAACACCAGTTCCCTAACCAGGAAGAGGACAGGACAGCCATCTTGTTTCACAGACTTTGTGTCCCAGGCCCTTGCCTCACACTTCTTCATTTCCTAATAGCCCTTGGGCAGTGATGGTCTCCCAAGTCATGGACGAGAGCACCAAAGTCCTGCGGTGATATGCCTTGGGGGCCACACCTGGTGGCTCTAGACAGTGAGGCACAGTCATTATGAGAAACACGAGTTGGTGGGCCTGTCTCTCTCCCTTGTTGCTTTCTTTCCTCCACGGAAGTCACAAAGGCCAGCTCAGCACAAAACATTGCCCCTCTCTCGGGGCTCCTGTAAGGCCTTGGATGGGGCCTGTGGCCTGTGTGGTTGTTTTGTTGCCTTTGTTCTGATATTCATCACTGACTCTTTTAACCCTCACCACAATCTTGAAGTCACTGCAGATACCCCCATTTCACAGATGGGGAAACCAAGGCACAGGGAATCCAAAGGAATAGGCTACCTGGACTGAACGGGAGAAGAGGGTATATGTGACTCAGGCCCCTGTTCTTCCTGGGAGGGTGGACACAGGTGCTGGGCAGGGAGCCTGAGGACTAGGCCAGGACTGGCTTTTCCTGCCTCACTCCCCAGTTGACTATCCTTTTTGGCCAGCCTGTTACCTACACCCGCTCCATTCCACAACCTCCCACTTTCAGACCTGGGGACCCTCAGACCGGGCCTTTGTTCCCAGGGCTGCCCCATGCCCTTTGGGGTCAGTGGAGGGGAGAAAGAAAGGGAGCCCCATGGGACAGGTTCTCCAGGAATGAACACTTTTCCAAGACAAGCAAACTGGGGTAAGGGGAGGCATAGATCCAGCTAAGGGTAGAATCTGGCAGGGGAGGGTAGATGTCCCCAAGTCTTCTCACTGCTCTTCACTTGCCCTGGGGATCAAGGACAGCAGCAACTGACCCCAAGCAGGAACCCTAGCCCAGCTGTGAGTCTCAGGCTCACTTCCCCTCCCCCACAAGTGCCACCTGTGGGACCTAGGAGAGCTGAGAAGCAAAGAGGGTGCCCTCTCGTGGAAGGGGACCCAGGAAGTCCCAAGAGGAGCCCTGCCTCACATTGTACCTGGGGCTCTTGATGGCGGAGGCTTCCTAGGACAGGTTGCGCCACCGCCCATGTTGCTCTCCCCAGTGATTGGTCCCCAGTGCTGCCTGTGCCCAGTTTGTGCTGGCCTCGTCTTCCTGCAGAGTCCCTGGCTTTGATTTGGTTTTTAATAATGGGAGGTGATGATTTAGATTTGGGGAGTTGTCACAGAAGGAGCGAGGCCATTTGGAAAGTTTCTCCTTGGCCCTATGAAATTCTGACCTGGAACAGATACCCAGGCCACTGCCCTCGGTCAACTGAACATCTGAACAGGCAGAGGGCACACCCCCCCCCACTCCCTCATCCATTCCCAGTCCTCATGCATTTAACTGCCCTTTCCTAAGTACCTACTGTGTGCCCAGCACTGAGCAAGACACCAAAGACATGGCAGGGCACCAGGCAAGGACAGCGGGGAACCCTGGGGATGTTACCAGGGACTATCACACAGATGGTGCCCACCCACTGGAGCACACAGAGCATGGCTTCTGGAAGGAGGCAGAGGAGATGCTGGGCAGGTAGTGGATAGAGTGTTCTGGTGGTGGGAACCTCATGCAACTGCAGCCCTGGGCCTGAGGTTGGCGAGGGACATGAACCCAGACTTGTAGTTTCCTACCTACCCTGGCACCCACACCCTGCAGGGCTCAGAAACCCTGTGCCTCCTCTGCCCTCAGGCTGCCTGGCCATTGCTGTCTGCTGAGCAGAGGCTCTGATCATGGCTGTTGCTGGCGGGCATTGCCACTTCCTTTGCTCTGGATCCCTCTCAAGGGGAGACCTCCAGCCTCCCTACCTCCCCAAGCCTCAACCCCAGCCTGTCCGTGGGGGCTGGACTCAGCTCTTTTCCCTGTCCTTCTGTCCTCCTCCTCCTAGACCACTTGGAACAGAAAATCCTGCAGGTGCTAGAGGAGGCTGGCAGACCCGTGAAGACCTCCCAACTGGTGAAGGAGTGCGGTGTGCTCAAGAAGGAGCTCAACCAAGTTCTCCACGATATGCAGAGGAGGAAGGGCAGCATCTTCCAGGCAGCACAGGCTACATGGTGCTTGAGCAGGGCTGATCTTGGAGGCCCTGGTCCCACGGAGGAGCTGGCTCAGCCCAGCCTGGGTAACGTGCCACCCAGGGGACAGGGCAGTCTACAGAGGCCATCCTGGGCTCTACCACTGGAAGACAAGTGGCTTTCCCCTCCCTGTACCTTGATTTCCTTTTCTAGTCAATGGGGATGACAATAGGGCTGCTTTGTTGGGAGAGAAGATCAGCTGCACAGGGCTCAGCCTGGTGTGTCCAGCTCATGGTATGCAGCAAAACACTGGCAAGGGTGACAGAAAGACAGGCATGGTGGCTTGATCCCAGCTACTCAGGAACCATAGGTAGGAGGATCTTAGTCTGATTGCAGCAAGGCAAAGATTAGAAAGACCCTAACTAAAGAACTAACCAAAGCAAAAAGGACAGGGGTGTGGCTCAAGTGGTAGAGCAATTGAGGCCCTGGGTTCCATCCCAAGTCTAGCAAATGATAGTAATAGTAACAGTAACAGTGCTAACTGTCAGGAGAACACGTTCGCGTGACAATGGGGTCCCCTTTTTTGGTTGGATACAAAAAGCCTGCCGTTTATCAAGTTCACACCTCGCCCTCACACAACCCCAGGGAAGTGGATGCTGCTCTTCTTTCTTTTTCTAGAAAAGGAAGTGGAGTCCCAGGGAAATTCACCAACAGGAAACCACACAGACAGAGTTGTCCGGCTCTGGAATCTGAGCTGAAACACCTGTGCCCCCTGATGCACCTGTGGGGCTGCCCAATTCGTCCAGTAGAGGCCACAGACTTGTCCTGTCCCCTTGGCCAACCCATCCTTCTCTCCTCCAGCCCAGAGGCCCCAGCAAGATGGAGCTGTGATGGCAGAGAGTCCTCACCCTCAGCTCAGTGACCAGTGTAAGCATCTCCAGTTCCTGTCAGCTCCACCCCCACCATCCGGGCCCTCCTGGAGGACACCGGGATGTTAGGGGTCAGGGTCACGTCCCACCCACCAACCAGAGGCTCCCACAGAGGCAAAACTCCATCTTCCCAGAGGAAGAAGCTGAACAGCTGAGAAAGTCATTCCCTGCTCGAGAGCTGATGTTTCGTGCACCTACCCTGTGCCAGGCTGTGTGTGGAGCGATTTAGGCAGGGATTGTCCTCAGTAACTCCTGAGGGGCACTGTTACTGTGCCGGTGGCTTCACACCTGTATTACAGATGAGGAAATGGGGCCCAAGAGGCTGGTAACGGTCCCAGGCCCAGACAACAGGCAGGCGGGCCGATTCAAACTCCGGGTCTCCCTAACTGCCTTGCCACCCTCCCTCCCAGGTGCAAAGATCTACAGGTTTCTGGAAGGAAAGGGGCCTTGCAAGGCACTGCAAATCGCCCAGGGCCTGGGCATGAGGACGGCGAGTGACGTGAACCCAGACTTGTACAAAATGAAGAAATTGCAGCTTCTGAGCCATGATCAGCATTTGAATGTGTGGGACGTGTCCAGGTCAGGTAGGCCTGGGCTGCTGTCCCACCCAGCTTCAGGAGCCATGAGAGAAGTCATTCACCCCAACACTCTGACTGCAGGGGGCTCTGCTGAGCACTTGGCCTGCTCCCCTCAAAAGAGGGTTCCTTTGGGAACCTGCACAGGCTGGCACAGGCCTTACTAAGGCTCTGCCAGGGGCGAGGGGGACCAACAGAGAAGGGTGCTCAACCGAGGGCTTCCTGGAGGCAGGGTTGAGCACTGTAGGAGCAGAAGGCAGAGAGCCCATTCCAGATGTCATCAGCCTGGGCTCAGTCTGAGTTTGATGATGGCTCTCTATGAGCACTTTGCCCAACTTGGGGTTTTAAAGTCATCTAAAGAGAGGTAAGACTGGACTTGGGCATCTCAGTGTGGTGTCCCAGGGCCACCAGCCCACGGGGGCAGCAGATTGGGCTCTAGAGTCCACTGGACTTTCAGGGGTCCACAAATATGTTTCCATTTTAACTTCTTCAGAAGAAGAAATGAATATTCAACAGGATATCCAAGAATGAATTCAGCCTGGGTTATGTTTGCCTTCATAGCAAATGGTCCTGAACTGTAATGCAGGAAAAGGCCACAAAGGCACCAGAGCCAAGGATGGCTATGTGGCCTGTGGAGTCTGCAAAGCCCCCGGCAGGTGCCGGCCTGGCCATGGGGACCCTGCCCACAGAGGTCTCAGCATCAAAGGCCACTGCCAGGAGGGGTGATGATGGGGGGCGGATATCGATTACTAGAAATAGCTGTAGACAAGTGCAGAGAGGTTCAGTGGAATATTATTTTGCAGAAGATTCTGGAAGAACAACTCAGTCCGCCATAATTTGCCAGAAAAACCCGATCAACATGGTCCTCCAGAGTGGGCGGCAGAGCCACATCTCCATCAATAACTCCAGGACCACCCAGATTGGCCATGGCAACATTGTGACCATGACGGCGTCGGGGAGGGCGGCGAGTCCTCTGAGGGACACCAGGAGGGGACCTCTAGGGGGACCTGCTCTGCCTGGGAGGGAGCACATAATGGGGTCCCTGGCCTACAAGGACAACAGGCAGCTTCTAACCCTTATAGCTCTCCCGTGACTGAGGCAGCCTGGATCAAGCCTCTCCTGCTCTCCCTTCACTCAGTGCTTTTTGCTCATTTTCAGTGAGATCCAATATTTTTCCATGAAGCATAACTCAACTCACTCTCCTCAGGAAGAATGTCAGGGAGTCATCGTAATATTTTGTTCATTCTGGACAACTTCTTTGCCCCCATGGGTGACATGTTGTAATTGGGCCATATTTTGTCATCAGAGGTATCTTAAATGTGGTGTAGTAAATCGAGCACTTACTCTGTGCTGTGGCATGAGGCACAGGGCCACTTGTCATGCCATTCCTGTCACCCACGTATGGGAGCATCGGCCCCAAAGTCAGACACTTCCCGTCACCTCAGGAAAGCTCTGCTCTGAGCCATAGTTTCCCCTATGGTGGAATAATCTAGAATGATCTAGATTCTGGATCATTCTAGATTCTAGATCATCCCCCAACTTTCATCCTCTAATACCACCTCCCTAATTTTGGCCATGCCCTGTGTGGTTATTTGCTTACTGCTGTCAACTGAATCATCTTTTTTCAGCTTACATTTAAAATTTTTAGTATAACCTTAAGCTGAAAGTCATGAAGGACCAGGCCAGGCATGGCATCTCAAGTCTGTAATCCCAGCTATTCAGGAGGCAGAGGTAAGGGGATTGTGTTCTGAGCCTGGCCAGGGCAAAAGTGCAAGACCCCATCTGAAACATAACTAAAGCAAAATGACTGCAGGTGTGACCAAACGGTAGAATGCTTGCCTGACAAGCACAAGGCCCTGAGTACCTGGGATACAAATCCTCAGTACGTCCCCCTCCTTCCAAAAAAATGAAGGTCACTGTCAAAATGAACTCCAGGAGGATAAAACGACACCCAAGGCTCTGGTCTCTGCACGGAGAGGGGTTAAGCTACGTTACGCCGAGGAAGACTTTCTCCCACGGGCTTCGAGGCCTGAGCAGGTCCGGGAGGGAGGCTGGTAGCGTTAGCTCACTGGGTTACCTGGTACTAAGCCAGTCGGTTTCGCACAGGGAAAGTAGGGGGCCCTGACGCACGCCGTCCATTGCTGTCTAGGACAGAGCAGCCTGGTGTCACCTCCAGCAACACCTGTTGTGTGTCCCCTGCCAGGTCCCTCAGCTCTCCATCGTCTCCCTCCAACTGCACCAGGTGATGCTTCTACTCAGGGCCCCCCCACTGGTGCCTGGGGACCCCAGGACATCCGAGTGGAGCAGTCCACCTCCGACAGGTGCAGCTGGGACACAGCAATGAGATGAGCCTCCTCAGTGTCCCATCAGAAGGCCTGACCTTCAGTCTCTCTGGCAGTTCCCCAGGTAACCAACCCACCTCCATCACCCCACTTGGTTCTTCGCTGGAAGGACCTAGAGCCTTTTGGGGAGAGAGGCATGATGGGAAACTTCTTTCCTCCCCCTGAGTAGTGGGGAGGGGGGGCTTTTAGAGTGAGCACCTGGGTCCCCAGCTCCCAGTACCCACCCACAGACAAGCTCAGTTTCCATGTCTGTAAAGTGGGCATATCCTCCCCAGGAAGCAGGGGCTGGGCAAGCTGGAGCAGGGTGGGAGGGGCAGGCTGGGGCCTGGAACGGTGTCCAGGGAGGAGGGAGAGGAGGCCACCTGAGTATCTGGGGCCTTAGTGGTGTGGTGGCAGCACGGTGACCAGAGGGCCCAGGCAGGGTCCTCCTCCACTCCAGGAACCCAGAGACAAACTGATGAGATAAAACAGAGGCCAAGGAAGAGAAGGGCAGGGACTAGGAGAGGTGACTCCAGAGGAGAGGCCAGCGAGGTGAGGAGGCTGCCATGGAGATCAGCACAGGGGTTGGTGGCAGCCATGGGGGACAGTTTCTAGGAGTGAGGGGACAACAGCACAGGAAAGACAAGGCAAAGCTGAGCATGGGTATGGGTGGGAGAGGGGTTGCCAGACAGCCAGGGCTGGGGCTGGGCTAGGACAAGTGAAGACTTGAACCAAAGGCAGGGGACAGGGCCCTAGAGCTGCGCAGAGATGAGGAGGCTCAGGAAGTTGTGAGGAGAGACACTAAGGTCCAGGTCTGCACCTCGTGAAGGGCAGAGGGAGTGGTATCCAAAGTTGACTGACCCTACCCTGGTCACTGGTGGGGCTCTGAAAGCCAGGCTGGGCGCTGGGCAGCTGCCCGCTCCGCCTGGCACCTCTCTTCGACCCACAGTCTCGACTGAGGCTGGCGGCCCAGATACTTCGTTTGAAGTTCAAATGTCCAGGCCAGGCCCTCAGCACGAGGGGGACGGGGCCCAGAGAGTCCACATCAAGAGGTGCTTCCTGGAGGACACTGCCATTGGCGCAGCAACAAAATGACCATCAGCCCGGGGGCTGTGGGGTCAGGGGACAGCAGGAGGAGCCCTGAGGAGCCAGAGAAAGACACGGGTAAGCTGGCACTGAGGGCTCTGTGTGCTCTCTTCTCTTCCCTTCCTCCCATACATTTAGTTGTTCATTCAACAATCAGGTGATGGCCTGGAGGCAGGCAAATGAGGCTGCGTGGACGGGGGAGCAGGTGAGCATGACTGGGGCATATGTGAAAGAGGGGGAGAGAGAGACAGAGAGAAGCAGAAGCCAGAGTCCAGATCCAGGCTGTGGTGAGGACATTGGCATCTACTCTAAGGCAACAGGGAGCTACAGAACGGCTTTGAGCAGGAGAAGCCCACGAAGATATTTCTGGTTCGGGGTGAAGAAAGGATCAAAGGAGTTTTCAGCCTCTAGATTTCTGGGGTTTGGAATAGGGGTCACACCCAGTCCACCAGTGGTTAAATGAAACAGCTTGGCCAGCATCCACCAGCCTGTGCCAAAGGCCCAGGGATGTCTATCCTGGGTACAGAATGGCTCCCCAATCCTGGTGGCTTTTTTTCTATGGTTTAGCACAGTGAGGAGACTCAGGCCTTACTCTTACCTTCCAACAATCCCTCAGGACCCCTGTGGGTCCCTTGTGTAAGTGAAATGGCATGGGGCATGGAGAAGGGCCATATTCACCAGAGCCCAGGCCAGAACTCTTTGGAACCTATAAAGCTTGGAGAGGAATGGGCCATGACTGTATCCAGCAAAAAGCTGCCTAGGCCTAGCAGGGAGGCTCTGGGAGGGAGCTGAGACCAGGAGAGAGAAGAAGCCAAGTGAAGACCTGGGAATGGACCATAAGTAGAGGGGATGGCGAGTGCAAAGGCCCTGAGGTGGGAACTGGGGAATCTGTCCAGAGTCCTGGGAGCAAGAGGGAGTATGGCCAACGAGCCCAGGGCCTTGGCTGGTTCCATGTCCTGCAGAGCCTGGAAGCCTGGAAGCCTGGATGAAGTCCGTGTCTCACTAGAAGAGAGCTGGGAGCCTCTGAGGGTTTCAAGCAGGGCAGTGTGGCGTGGTGGGCTGTTTAAAAGTCTTACCAAAGACCATTTGGGGACAAAGCAAAGGGACCCCTAGGGGAAGCAGGACTACTGCAACTGTCCAGGCAAGAAAGGTCAGGGCCTGCAGCCCCAGGTGAACTAGGGAGCCTTGGTTGTCCAGCCCAAGCCCCTCACACATTCCTTTGGTGACATCTCTCTTCCCTTAGATCCAAGTTCGGAAGGCACAGGATGCAGAAGTGATTTCCCTCACGATGTTACCCAAGCCGTCTCCGACAGCCTCTCATTGCTCGCTGCAGAGCTGAGAGCCATGAGTCTTGGGAACACTGAGCCCGATTCTGCAGAGTGCTGTTTCTGAGTCGATGGAGCCTTGGACATGGGGTGGGGGGCGGGGGGACAAACAGACAACCACAGACCAGACACAAGAAGAAAAGCCAGAGTAGGTGGTTGCTGGAGAACCTTGGCATGGGACTTCCTGTGTCCCTAGACACAGGGTTTTTTGTTTTGGCTTGGATGTGAAGTGTCACACCCTCATAGAGGCTCTGAAGGCTCGGTGCCAGCCGGGGGACCCAGTCATTGGACCATCAGGTGGTCTTCATCAGTGCATTCAGTCACTGTGAATTTATAACTGGATGGCATTGCTGGGAGGATGGATGCCTTTGGAGGTGGGGCCTGGCTGGAGGAAGTGGGTCCTCCCCTTTGCTTCCTGGGAAGCACCTGCGTCTTGTGGCCTGAGTCTCCTCTTTGCTTCTTGGCTGCCGTGAGGTGAGCACCTTCACTTCTGTGCTCTTTTGCCGTGTTTCTGCTTTGCCATGGAGCCAACTGAGTTCATGAACTGGAATTCCTGAAAATGTGAGCCAAAATAAACCTTTCCTTCTTTAAGCTGCTTCTCTTGGGAATTTGTCACAGAGACGAAAAGTCTGACCAACCCACGTTCACTTCCTCACATGTGGCCAGCATGGGTCGATTTTTGGGCTGGAACTGGTGTGGAATGGGATCAGGCTGCCTGTTCAGCAGGAGTAGCCTTGGGGACCCCTTGGTGTGCTGAGAAGAGGTGGGTGGCTGGCAGTGGGGCCCAGTCAGTCCAACTGGACCACTGTCTCCATTCCTCCCAGAGCCAAGTCCCTGGCTGAGCTGTTTCCCATCATGGCCCCCTGCTATGATCCTGACCTTTGTGTCCCTCCGAGGCCATGCTCACAGTGAGTCCCCAGTGCTACCGTGCTAAGAGGCCAGGGCTTTCTGGAGGCAGAAGGATTGTGAGGGCTTCCTGCCCTTACACAAAGCTAGAGGAAGCTCTTTAGCCCTCCAAGTGAGGATGCAGCCAAAAAACCCCAGATTTGAGACAGAGAACGTCCCTCGCTGGATGCCAAACCTGTGAGCACCTTGATCTTGGCCTTCCCAGCTTCCCAAACTGCAAACAGTACACGTCTGTTGCTTATAAATTGTCGGTCTAAGATGGGCTGCTGTAGCAATCTGAGCAGCTGTGTCCTCCCTTGTGACCTGACTTCCTCAGGTCTGTCATGCTGCCAGACCTTCCTAGAATCTTCTCTCCTCAGCTTCAACCTTTCAGGATTTCTTAGCTGAGCTTCCAAAGAGCAAATTGCTCCCTCTCGTCCCTAAAAGCCATTGGCGGTCCCATGGGTCAGGTGAATTCCCCTAGCCAATCAGCAGGAAGGAATTTGGGCACTGTGACAGTTCCTGAACCAAAGAGCGGAGCCTGGGTGGCCCTTAGGGTAAGACAATGGAGGAAGATGGAAGAGAGAGAGGAAGTGACAGCCAGTCAGGCAGGGCCACTGTGGAACAGGACTATGTACCTTGCATAGTCGCTCTGTGAACACTGGCCCTCTGTGGCTGCCTCCCAGAACAACACAGCTCTTACACACTGCTGTGCCTCCTCCTGGGGACTGTGGGATTCCAGCACCTACCAGCCTTCTCCCAGGGTCAGTGTCTGTCTTGGTGGCGATGGGTAGCTCACCCCAGGGCCTCAGCAGAATTGGCCTCTCCTTTCCCAGATCACCAGTGCTTCTGTGTGTTCATGGAGTCTAGACAAACATGTACTGCTTGTCCTTCCAAACCACGAAGACGTGGTTTGAACCCCTGATCAAGTCACTTCTGACACAGGACCTGTCCTTGCACTTGTCCACTGGAAGAGTCAAGAAGTGTCTGTGCTCAGACTCCATTCCCAGCGCAGCCCACCCCTCACCTTGCCCACTCCTTGCCTGAGACCTCTGCTACCTGGCCTGCAGGTCTCAGTGGAGGCGTGGCCTCCCTAGAGCTCATGGTCCAGCTGGCACCTCTTCTTGCACCTGAGGCTGCCTGTGCCTCCCCATCACACCTGCACGCTGCCTGCTGTGCCTTGCTGCTGGTCCACCTCTGCAGTCATCACTCTCATTTGGCTGCGGATGACAGAAAGCTGGACCTGTTAGCATAGGCAGCAGGTAGGCATGAGCCAGAACCAGGAAACACCCAGGCTATCAGCTACCATGGTAAAAACCCAGATGGCCCACACCTTAGGCTTAGGATTACGATAATGGCTCTGTGTCTTCCTTGTGGAGTTCACTCCCCATATGGAGGTTGGTGTGCCCCACCCCCTGAAAGCACAATGATCTCCACTGGCCCTGCTAAACCAGGAAGGGCAACAAAGAACAAGACTCAGACCCTGCCTTCCCACACCCAGGCAGTTACTGTACAGTTGCCAAACCATTTGGGGAGTGACCACAGGGGAGGGCCTCAGTCTGGGGTCCCCTAGTAGCCCCACTGCACTGGATAAAACCCCAAGCCAGACAACTTCCACACAGCCTTTCCCCAAACTGCCAGCCTGGGTTGTTCCACTTTGCTAAGAAATCACT